AAAATAATTGAATTCATAAAGGTACCAAATCAATTTTAAAATATATAGCATAGGTGTATCGATTTCAGGCATTCGTAGCAACAACAGCGAATGACTTAGAGCCTCAGACAAATCATAGTCGAACTATAAACTTTACTGCAATCAGAAAGTGCTCTTTCTATGATTCTGGCGTGCATCTATAAAAATAGAGTACATCTATGGATATATCAGCATATAAACAGCAAAGACAGGCACAAAATGTTGAACGAAATATGCATGAACATACTTTGAATTGACATGCATGAAGACCAACCAAAAATATTTAATTGAATATTAGGAAATTTTTATAATTATGATTGTAAATAAATACATAATGGCCATTCCATTCCACAAGTTATGTTTTGTTAATAGGGAGTGTAACAGGGAAGCAAGCCTGTGTGGGATAGTTTATATGTAGTAGCCAATCAAAATGTCGCAGGATAAATTTAAATTTCATACAGACAATAACAATCTAATTATAGTTGTGATCACTATAAAATATATCAACAACAATAGTATAATCTAATTGGCACCAACCAATCAAATGGCAGATTAATAACAGTTGTAACAGCATGGACTTTTGTTAAGATTTGTATCAGGCCTATTAATTTATTGATAGGCCTGATCGCAGGTTAGGGATATCCAAGCTAGCTTGCTTTACAATGACAAGTTTCATGCACCTTTATATTATTTTTTATGTTTAATTGTTTGGCCTTGATATTATTACTTACTATCTAGGCAAAATGTTTAACCTACTCAGTAGGCAGGCTCACCTACATATACCCACCTGTTTTCATGGCAAAAGCAGGGTGGAATAATTTGGTTTACCAGAAAATATCATGCAACGACCAAGCGATGAGATGTCAGAGTGTCATAAGTGCTGACGTCAAGAATTTGAAAAGGCCGACCCATTGGAATATTGCCCTAAATAATAGCTGTATTACCCAATGACCACAAGGACACCAGGTTATTGTAGAAAGCAGCTTATGAACCATCCTCGTACTCAGGGTCTTTCCTCTTGGGGAGCAAAGACCCTGGTAGATGCTGGTCACATGATCTGCTAAAATCTAGCAGATTTCTAATGAACTATCTTGGTTTTCTTTACGACAATCATACAAAATGCAAATTATAAATTAAACTGTCAAAATAATCCAAGTATCAAATGTTTATTGACCTGATCTTGGATTGCTAATTAAAAATCTGCTAGATTTTAGCATATCATACTAACCTCAACATGGTCATTTGGCAAGTGTAGTAGGTGAGGATGTCCCTATTCAACTAAAAGTTTATTTATTGCAATAACTATTAATACACAATTAATTTTTTATTCAATATGTATTTGTACAAAAATTATATTGAGTTGCTGATATACTGAGGTTTCAAGGATTGCGTTTTCTTGTTGGCAGGCAACCCACATCATATCATTTACAAAATAATCACTTCCATCATCTCATGATCATTTTAGTTTTCAAAATATTGACTTCCTGCTGGTCATATAAAGCAATTTCCTGACACTATGATATTTGATACACTTTTAAATATAGGTAAAAGTGCATGTTTGGGAATATTTTACTTGCTTATAATATAGACTAAATAAAGTTGATGTTTCTCGGTGGTTCATTTATTGTGTGGTAATTACTATCGGAGACATTGCACTGCAGGACGTCCAGTTATTCTTTGGCAATTCTGCTCTTCTATAATTCACAATTTCTTCTGTAGTTGTTAGTTGTGAGTGAGCAAAAGTTGATTAAATTCAGCACAGCTAGAACCTGAGCACTATTGCCTCCCTGGTTTATATGTTCCATATCATATGACCTTGCTAAGGATGGAAATAATAAATAAATAGGTGGGTATTTGTAGGCAATATTCCTTAGGGTATTTTTTATCATATATGTACATATTAGTAATATCACCACTGCTCCCTTTTCAATGTTGGTGTTCTGGTTAATACTTTTAACCATGCTGGGTCTAGCACTGAGACCAAACTGAATAGCCACAAAATTGAAAAAGGAGGTACGGGTAGTGTTTAAAGCGAATAAGGATAAAGGTATCAATTGGGCTCTTCATTGCCAACGTTTGGTAAAGTGAGCTACATAACATGCCATGCAACATGTGGCATTGTCCAATATACATATTAAGAATTACAATGTATGAACATTTCCTAATATTGAACAATGAACTATATTTCTGGTCAGTCTTCATGTCTGTTCGAAGAACATTAATGACTTGTTCTACTTTTACAGTATCATTTTGGGATTTTCCTTATCATTTATATACATAGATGCCCTCAGTTAATCTTGAGCACTAGCTGCCAAATTGCAGCAAAGTTTATAGTTCGACTATGATTTGTCTGAGGCTCTAAGTCGTTCGCTGTTGTTGCTACAAATGCCTGAAATCGCTACACCTATGCTATATATTTCTAAATTGATTTAGCTTATTTATGAATTCAATTATTTTACCTTTTACGACAGCGAAATTGATATCGCTTCGCGAACGTGAATCAAGCCTCCATTTTCGTCCCGATTTATCATGGTTTTTGCCTCAAATATATTCAGGAGTCGTTATAAGCTTTTGTGCTGCCTATCGTAGTATTTTGAGAGTTTCATCAGCCTTGTATGTACCTATATGTGCCGCAATTTTTGCCTATCTTGCAATGCACTCACTCGTAAATGGCCGCCATCTTGATTCATTAACTTGAAAGTTTGCTATGCGCAGAAGAGATGCGCAGACGGTGACACTGCCCCTTTAATTAATCCTTTCCTTATATGTGTCTGAGAGCTATTAACCTGAATAAATCGTCATGGTTGATGATTGTTCACTTAATCACTTGTTTGTTTTTCTATAGAGAGAACTACCTACCTTATTGCTTTTCTCTGCCAAATAAATAATTTAAACTTTTATTTCTCATTCTTTAGCGATTTTACTGGGAAGTAAACTGAAAATCATTCTGACAAACCATTTTTAAAACCACGTGACTCAGTGACTGTGTTTGTTTTAATAACATTGCTCTAAATCTTAACTCGGTCATGAGCATCGGAGACTGGGGAGCAAAAACGGATTAAACGGCATACTCTGAGTGATGTTATTTAATTTCAAAATGGCGCGTGTTTATTTTTGTTCGTCGAAGAACTGAAAATACAAATGCAATTTGTGAAAAAACTGCGGGTCTACGGAGGGGCAACTTTTCGGATTTGAATTCAGCGTGTTCGAAAATGTTAGTTGCCGTGAAAATATTTCAGTTCCACGAGATGCTTAATGAAAGTGAACGATATCGGGTCACGGCAAACGGCCTAAAAGAAAAAATATACTTTTTAGCAACGAAATATGTAAACAAACCGAGCGAACAATTTGCTAAATGTTGACAGTAAAATAAATGTACAATCCAATATAAAAACAAATAAAATAAACTCTAACGAATATGAAAACTCATTTGGCCTATATATAGAAAAATTTACTTCAAACTTATCATAATACTGGCTTCTTTTGGCTTTTAAAAACTCAAAACAAGTAAACAACTCTGAGCATTCGGGATTTTCTCCGCAAACTACGTCACAAGCCTGCCGACGTCAACCTTTTTATAAAGGTCTATTGGGTTATTATTATTCAGGATTGTGCAACTTGCAAGTTTAATATTGGAATGGAGCTCTCTCCTCCGCAGAGGTTTCGGTGTTATCGAAGAAACCTCTGCCAGAAGTCACGCTCAATAGTTCAAAATACCGGGGGGGGGGAGAAGTTTGTGAGAAATTTGTTAATTGTTATTGTTACATGTAATTGTTAATTTGTTATTCTCAAAACTGTCACAAGTGTTTGTATCTATGGACGACGCAAATTTAGTAGAAAAACTTGACCTAAAACACTCTTGTTTTGGAAAAGCGTTATTGTTAGAATGGAGGAATGGGAAAACGTGTTGTCATGCTTGTTTTACAGAATATGGGAAATCGAAATATTTTTAAAAAATGGACTTTGGGCCACATAAAATAAATTCCTTGATTCTCATCACCCCCTGACTGTATTTTATTAATTTAAGAGCCGCGTGAAATTTTTTATACCGTTTTGTTATACAATATAAATGTACCGCCCGACAAAACATTTCAAGACAGTTAAGTTTTTTATATTTTATATTAGGTTTTTAGTGCCATTTTAAACTGCCAATTTCAAACAAATAGAACCTTGAAAGAAATTTCATTGCATTTTAACGGAAGTTCGGTTCAGTTCAAGGGCTAGCCTGCGAACAGGCTCTCAGCTGAATTGAGAGCCTGCATCGATGACTAATGAATTTGAATATCTGCGTCTCAAATCGTGACGCGAAATTCTCATTGGTCAGATGCTATAATTTATATGTTTCCGCTGAGCTCTATATATGTCAGCTGCTGGCATTATGCATAAAAAACACATTAACTGATCAAATTGGTCTTGGCCGTCTTATCTCAAAGCACTAAATGTTCTGTTTTGAGAAAACAGTATTTAAAACATTTGAACTTTTGCTTGAATATCTTATATTTCGAAAAACAGCATAAACTGTACAGTCTAAATTTAGTTCGCACGGTCTAAATTTAGTTTGCACGAAAGTTGTAAACAACACCATATAAAGATAGACATTCCATATTTGGAAAAACGAACGTTACGGGGCAGATATTCAAATTCACTAGTCATCGATGCAGGCTCTCAATTCGGGGGCCACCAAAAAAATAGTGATGTGAAAGGGGGGTGACCTCAGGAAAGTGAAATTTTGAGGGGGGCCACCAAAACATCAATGAATACATAATAATTTTGCCGATAAACTTATAATAAAGCATAATAAGTTACAAATAAAACAAATTGTTAGGTAATTTTAGCTCAGTCTTCAAATCAATTTGTTCTCCTTTACATTTTAAGATTCTTCCTCAAATTAAACGGTAATTTATGAAACTTAGAGCTTCGTTGAAAAGGTAAAGAGTACATGTTTTTAGCCAAAATGTTAAAGCAACAAAATTCGTAAACATTAAATATTCAAAGGGAACTTGCCGTATATTTCACGATTTCCCATAGTAAATCAATTCTTCTCATTTCTTCAAACAAAATTGCTTCAAGCTTGTTGTATATGAAACGATTTCCCAAATATGTCTTTTAAAATTGAAATCTTGCTCATCCCACTCCTACAAGCAATCAGCCATATTTTTGAAATCAGTGAGGATAACCACCCACTCGTTGGTGACCGACGCCCGCGATATTTGATGAACTTTAGACTTCGTTAATGCTTTCGTTTCCCCAGGTGTAAATAGCCGGAGGGAATTAGTACCCTCGCACAGCGCTTCGCGCCGACGGCTCGGGGAAAATAAAATTGTTAGGGAATTTCAGTTCAGTCTTCAAATCAATTTGTTCGCCTTTACATTTTCAGATTTTTTCTCAAATTAAACGGTAATTTATCAGTGAAACTTAGAGCTTCTATAGTTCATGTTTTTTATTACGTAAAAAGTTAAAGCAACAAAATTCGTAAACATTGTAAAGTATTCAAAGCAAACTTGCCGTATATTTCACGATTTCCCGTAGTAAACCAATTCTTCTCACTTCTTCAAACAAAATTGCTTCAAGCTTGTTGTATTAGTAAATAGCCGGGGGCAATTAGTACCCTCGCACGGCGCTTCGCTCCGTCGGCTCGGGGATAATGCGTTCGGCACATGAGTAGCGCCACGTTTGAAACAAGTCTAACAGATCAGAAATGTGCCTCGTGGAACTGTCATTAGATGAATATCGTCTTTTCCAGGAAGCATATGTTGAATCTCTGCTAACTGAGACTTCCTAAAACGAAAGATTTTATCTGTATATGGGTAAAGTTATGCCAGCAATGAAAGACAAGACGGACGAAGGAAAATCGTACTAGTACTATGACTGCTGGTTTATACTTGGAGGTAAAGGGACCAACCGAAGGGGTATTTTCAAAGCTAGATATCGTTGTGAAAGGGGTCGTGATGGTGGCTGCAGGCATATTGGTGCAGCCATGTATTCCTTAAAGGATTTGCTAAATACCCATAACGAGGACATGCAGCTCGACTAGTGTACCATGTACATGGACCAAGAAACCAACCGTTGATAGCAGACCTTGTGATGTGAAAGATCAATTGCCCACTGTAATCTACCTTTAAGCAATCCAAGCACGAACATGTTTATGTTGAACGCATAGACATGGATTTAAGGCATAAAGATGACCAGGTTCTCCCGACAAATAAATCTGTAAAACAGTTCATACATTCTTTGGAAAAATGTGGTTTCAACATGTACATGGACCAAGAAACCAACCGTTGATAGCAGACCTTGTGATGTGAAAGATCAATTGCCCACTGTAATCTACCTTTAAGCAATCCAAGCACGAACATGTTTATGTTGAACGCATAGACATGGATTTAAGGCATAAAGATGACCAGGTTCTCTCGACAAATAAATCTGTAAAACAGTTCATACATTCTTTGGAAAAATGTGGTTTCAACCCAGCAATTTTGCCATTACTGATCTAGTTAAATGGTAAGCTTAATTGCCCTATTATTAAAAATGATATTGAAAATGACGATGTAATAAATTTAAATAAAAGTGGAAATAAATTTAAATTAACTTCAGCAAATGAAATCATGAAGGAAAAAGTCAATATACTCTGTGAATAATATATTGGGTCCTGAATTTTCTGCTAAAGCTGCAATCAACGATGTTCTTACTAATTTGTCTCAGAGCCAGGAAGAAGTTGACCAGGTAAATGAATCGACCATTGAGCAATGGAAGTGTGAGGCATGGTACAAGCAGAAATAAGGCTTCCTAACTGGCTCAATCGCACATAGAGTTTTGAGCTTGCAGAACGGAGGGTTTAAACTACAGGTTGCAGGTGTGCAATTACAGGTTGCAGCAATATACCGATTACATTGTTAGATTCTGCTAGATTCTGTTCCGAAATATCACTTACTCGAACCGTCCTGACCGCGTAGCTCAGTTGGCAGAGCATTGGGCTAGTATTCCAGAGGTCGTAGGTTCGATTCCCAACGTGGCCGGGCATATATTTCAAGCTCGCCCGGTGTGGATATACACTCAGAGTAACATCATAGACATCATATTCACCTGAGTACACAACACAAACACAGAAAAAAATCATAATGTGTTGTTATTTTATCATATATTCAAGTAAAAACAACCTCTTGTCCATTATTGTAGGTATATATCTTATACATTACCATGCAGGTGCGGACAAAGACTTTTTGGCAGAGACTGCAATTTTTAAAGCTAAGTGTAAGAGCTTAGATTGAAAACAATCCGCATGCAAGTAGGAGTTTTAGTAAGTTCTCTGAAAGGTGAAAAAGGCACTAATGCACTATCACTTAGTCACCAGGATACTCAGTATTGTTTACTGAATCTAACACAAACTTTGATATTTTTAAGATTTAATTTCTCAAAGAGAATACATGGTGTTAATAAGTTCTTTGCTACCTCCTCCGCAGGCCTTTCGATGCGGGCGGGAATAATTTGCGGGCGTGAAATTTGTGATCAGGGAAGAACGGAAGGCGACGAAAGGCCTGCTGAATAATAGTCGGTTCCTGGGCAGAAGTGACGTTTCCCGGGTATCGGTTTTCAATCCTTAAAAATCTTCGTGAAATATGAACCATCCTATCCCAAAACTATTGTCCCGTGTATGGTAGAGTATTTGTGATACTTCAGGGCAGTCATGGCCGAAAGCAGCGACGAACAAAGGGGAAAATCGAGGATTTCGACGATGTTGACGTTCTTAATAATATGTCATTCTGTGAAATGGAAATATGTATGTATTTTACCTGATTAAATATCATGTAGATCATTGACGCGTTTTATAATGCAATTCATAACAAGCAGTCGTAACACAATGATATCGATCGCTATGAACAGGACACGCTTGAATAACGCCATATGTTGACAATTAATATGTTGTGCTCATCGTTCGACGGCAGCGATGTGGATACTCTCAATATATCGTTTTCTGAAATGGACTTGGTATGTAGAGTTTTGTGGTAATGGAGATTCTACATGCAGACATTGTGTTATTATACTCAAAAGACAAAGAACAAGCGAACAATGAGACGCTATATTACTTCTATTTACATTGTAAATGTATATTTTTAATATGCAAATATAATTTCACCATATTTATCTTTCAAATTGTGCTTTTAATGTTTCATGCAGACTGATATTTGAATCTTTTCTAAAGTATTTGGAATGGCTTATCATAGGCTTAGTCGCAAAATATGTAGAAAGCGGATATAATATTGTTGATGTTGTATTTGCATTGGCATAATTTGTATAAACACTTTATATTAGACAGTCTCCATCGTCATAGAAAAGCGGCGGCTAGTTATAAGTACTTTTTAGTCTGCCAAGACCACTGGATGCTATTTCTAAATATTATTTACATCTATTAGATCAGTGCTGGTATGTATATTGTATATTAAGTCATAATAGTAAAGTCAAAATGAAAATTTCGATTTATAGCATACGCCATCTTGAAAGCATTACTCGGCAGGCGCTTTCGCCTGCAACCCGCATTTTCCGAACCTGCCCGAAATGCACCCTAAGCGCCTGCGGAGGAGGTAGAGTTCTTTGTATGATTGCATGGTGATAAAATATATAACACTTTTTGTTTGTGGAAACACCACGTAAATTTATTACCACGTTAATTCATTATTATTTATTATTATTTAATACACAGTGTGTTATATTTTGTAAAACTGATAGTCATCATATAGTTTATTAGTCTCGAAGTACTCTAAAAGGAAGGAGTGATTACTTTGGTCGACATGAATTTTGGAATAAACAAGAATGACAACTATTTTTTAAATTGGTTTATATAACAGGCAGTTCGTATAAGAATCTGTGCATAAAGTTAGAGTACACTACAAATTATGACAATGAAATCTTTAAATGCATTATATAAAATCAACTGTAATTACATTAATAGTCAACGTATTTACTGTTGTCCTCAAACAATAAAATTCATTTGATCAAATAAAAAATTACATAAAATGCCACCATGGTAAGCCAAGCCCTCAGGTTAATAAAATTTTTCGTTGAACCACTCGTTTCTTTTTTAATAAATCCTTCAGGATCATTCAAAAATGTACAATATTTTTCACGTAATTTTGTTCTCACGGTCATCTGAGAAAAACTTTCCATGTCGAGAAATTCTTCATTACTATCGCTATATTGAGGCCATAATGGTAAACTGTCGAACTTGTCTACCACAATCGGTAGCTTTCTGGTGCCGGAATTTGGATCTCTGCATAAGGGAAGTGGAATTAGAAATTAAATTGTGCTCATTTGCTTGAGAAATGGGGTTGATGAGATCTCACCTTGCGCTAGGTGGGATCTCAATGTTATTTCATACCTAGCGTATTAGCGGCTTTCCTATTGGCCACGAGGAGGTGCGTTCAATCTCGAACCCACCTGCTGACATATGTTTAGGAGGGGCGTTCGAGATTGATGTTTTTGGCGTCGGCCATTATGAACAAATTTGAGACGAACATTTAAATAAAAAATAAAATTGTTTTATAATATTTTTTATAAAAATGGAATATTCTGTATTCAAAGTGGAAGAGAAGAAAGATGGCCGCCGGAATTTGTTCGACACGGGCAGGTTTATATAAATCTTGGCAATGTTTACGCAGAATCATTTAATTATTAATCATTTCTTTTGAAATTGATTGTGTTGATAGTTTTTAAACATGGCAATATTTGCATAGCGGGAATGTATCGTCGGGCTGGCTATGCCACAGCGCAGAATGTGTTCATTTTCTTTTTTCAGGAATAAGGGAATATTGTAGAGATTTGTTAGCTTCATAAATTGTCTGATAACAAATTTTTCTGCTGTCTGCAGAAATTTGTTTATTTCAAACTTGCAAGTTCGGTGAGCCCGCCATTTGGAAGCACCTCGTGTGGCTGGAAATTTCCCGAAACCACCTCACTTCGGTGAGTTCGGGAAATTTTCAGCCACCCACGCTGAATTCAATTCCGTACTCACCTCCCTGCAATTATGTTTCTTATTCGGGACATGCGATTGAAACCTATGATAAATGTTGTGAGTATTTTAATAGAGAGGCTTGGATTTTGACTTCCAGCACCGCTTGTACCGTTTTCATTAGCCATTCAGATGCATTTAATCTGTCCAATGAATCCAACCAATGAAATACGTGTTAAGCCTGTGGGAGGTAGCGGGAGCAGTATAGTGCGATTAGCCAAATCTGAACCTCTCTAATTATATTTTGAAGGGATATAATATATATTTGTAATTAGCCGCTTTAAAAAAGAAATTAAACCGATTTTAATTTTTTTCTACGCCCTCTATACCGCAAAACTTGACAAAATACATCCGTCGGAGTAGACGTTAAAACTTACCCGGTTTTAGCAAAATTTGTCCAATATAATAACATTCTCATAGAGAGTGTTCGATCATCAGACCGGAACTTCGTATCATTAATTGGCGAACCAAATACTGACTAAAATACAATGGAAAATCATTATTGGTTTCTGCATGATATATTAATTGTTCAAAATAAGTAGATTTTCAAATGTGCTACTGTTCTTTCTGAAGATCCACTAATAATTCCTTTTCAATACGAGGGATATCAATTTCCTATCTCGCTGTTTATGAGTTAAGGTCAGCGGTTAGGGTAACGATTAAGGTCAGCATTCGTAAACAGCGAGACATGAAGCTATAATCTCTCTGAGAGCCTGTTTATAATTAGACATTTATAACGTAAACTGGAGACCCTTCTGAACCAAATATTAACAAACAAGCATAGCAAAAACTTCTGTTCCCATACAATATTGCTGGCATGTACTGTACCATACCAGCGCAGCATAATATTCAATCAATCAAAAGCATTTGTTCTCACAATAGAAAATTTACAGCATATTGCTGGCTCAAATTCCAGCTGGCGGTTATTTTATCGGCCATGGGAGATTTATTGATCTAACAAGATACGAAAAAGTTCGTCTTATACTTGAATCCGTCTTATTTTTTAATCATGCTCTGAGATTACTTGCTTCTTTCAAGCGATTCTTGTTGCAAAATTTACCAGACAAGGTATTAGTATCATATAATAACATTCATAGAACTGTAACTCGACTGTTGATTGGTTGATCTCAGTGCGGTTAATTAATCTCAAACAGCAGTGTAAAAATTAGTAACAAACTGATGTGATTGGTGGTAAAACAGTGGGATCTAAAATCAACCAATCAGCTTAAAGCATTCCTCAAATAACTTCCACAAATTGCTTCAAAACAAAAAAGCATGGCGGCCGCACTACATAAAGTGAAAATTGAGTTCGGGTGGAAAATATCTTAAATATGCATGCTTTTATTTTTTTTAAAATGGAAAAGACTTTGTCTTAAAAAGGCTAACAAAGCTTACATAGTTGAGTGCAATTTCAAGCCTTTAGCGTTGTATAATTTGATATAACAAAGCAGGAAAAGTTTGTCACTGGACGAGTCGCTATCAAGGTAAGATAAAATTACAACTTGTCGTCCATTTTTATGTATGTTTTAATACGTAATGGATGGTTTCTCGTGAAATGTTTTATCCATATTGCACTCGAAACTATCCTATTACCAACACTTATTTGTTGATTTTCCAACATGAGCTCTACCTTTGAATTTACTATATGAGTAAATTCTTAATTAAACACGTCCGAATTTTCGCGGCACATTCGCGGTCATTTTTCGCGGTCATAAAACCACAAGCACTAAACAAGACCTTTTATTATAAATGTAATGACACTAAAAGGGAGGCCGGTCGCGCGCGGTGGTGAGATTTTTAAGATTTTCATCAAAATAGTTTAAAAAAGTTTTAAAAATGTTTTGGAGGAGTTTTAAGTTAAAAAAGTTAAGAAAGTTAATAAAGTTAAAAAAGTTAAAAAAGTCTAAAAAGTTGAAAAAGTTGAAAAAGTTGAAAAAGTTGAAAAAGTTAGGGTTAGTGGTTAGGGATTGGGGTTAGGGTTAGTGTTAGGTGCCGCAAATTTATTATTATGATAAATTCAAAATGTGCCGCGAATTTATCATAATGATAAAATTCGGGCGTGCTTAAGAATTTACTCGTATAGTAAATTCAAAGGTGGAGCTCATGCTGTGATTTTCGGTAAAATAAAAAGTTGAATAAGCAAGAGAAAAAAAGTTCATCTCAATAGACAATTCCCATTATACATGTAGACTAATTTTAAAACTAGGGAAGAAGATGCAAATAAATCACCACAGCTAGAGGGCATATTATTTAAAATGAATACATTTATAAAGTTTGGTTGCGAAATGTTGTAAATTGCGGAAAATATAGCCTTGCAAAGTTCGCAAATTTTGTATACTTCTGTATTGCGTGCGGAATTGCTACCATTTTCGGTCCAAATGTGCTTTGCACTTGGTTGAATTACAATGTCTGTTTAATTATGTACTGGATATACAGCTAATTCATAAAAGATTGTCCACTGCAAACCTTAAACTTTAAACATTAAACCTTAAACGCTAAGCATGCAAAGCGTAATGAGAGCACCACACTGTTAATTTCAAAGAGTTATTTTAACTCCACCATAGGAGTTAAAACTACTCAACTCGGGAGAGTAAAAATAGTGGAGTAAAATCTACTCCCAAAATAGAGTTAAAACTACTCCACTTCGGCGCGCATTCCACAATTTACTCCATCAGGAGTCAATTTTACTCCGCTGGAGGAGTAAACTAAACTCCCGTTTAGGAGTAGAAATTATGGAGTAATTTGTACTCCTTAATTTTACTCCAGGGGTCGTTTCAACTCCCAAAAAAGAGTAAAATTGTTCTGGATCTGGAGTAAATTATTACAATATATAATTAATGTGCCTGAGAATCCAAGAGTTTTTCTGCTGGAGGCTATACTCTATTAAAGTATTGAATACAGTCAGATGCGAAAAGCGCGAAGTTCGAGATATAAAGTTTTTTTTAATTTTACGTTTTTGGTTACTCGAATGTTGCCAAGTCAGATTGATGCCATTGATGTATTATACCGTATATCGGCT